ATACATTAGCGGTAGGATAATTAGTACCCGAAAAAACATTTGTCACATCAAAAAAGACCTTCAAAAATCTAAATAACTTCTCTATTCTCCCCCACTCCTCATTTGTTGGACAATGAATGTAATTGGCATCAACCTTTTGAAAATGAAGAAAAGCTTTTTTGTAGTACAAAACATTCTCTAACATCAAATAAGTTGAATTCCATCTAGTAGGGACATCTTGTCTCAATCCTCTACTTGAGTCTAGTTCAACATGTGCCACACAAGTCAAAAAACGTTGCTTTCTAGCCTGAGACCCTTTACAATACTTCACAGTTTCTCTCACCTTAACAACAGCCTCATTAATTTCTTTTAACCCATCTTGCACAATTAAATTTAGGATATGTGCACAACACCTCACATGGAAATAATCCCCCCCACATACCAAATCAAGTTCATTTTTAATTACATCAGCAAACACATCATTAGAGGAAGCATTATCAAGAGTAATACACATGATTTTCTTTTGGATACCCCACTCTTTAAGAAAATCATAGACATGGTCAGACATATGGACACCGGTGTGAGGTGGAGGCAAAAAACGAAAGTTCAGAATTTTTTTTTGCAAATTCCATTGATTATCAACAAAATGGGCAGTCAAAGACATGTAACCATCAGTAGTAATTGAAGTCCAACAATCAGATGTAAGAGAAATCCTACCCTTAACTACACTCAACTCCTCCTTAAGTTTATCTTTTTCCCTCTTAAACATTTTCAGAACATCAGCCTTCAAAGTATTTCGAGACACAAGTTTAACATCAGGATTTATGTAATTAATCAACTTCCTAACAGCACTATATTCAGCAAACTGAAAAGGCAAATCATGTTTCACCACAGCAATAGACAACATCTCACGAACAATATCATAATCAATTGTAGGAACCCTATTCATCATAGAACCAGAACTGCTTGAATCAATAATCATCTGACCCACATCTTTAAAGGTCCTTTTTTTACATTTCTTAATGTGGCGTTTTAAATTACCAGTTCCTTGCCTACTTTCAGCATTATATTTCTGCCCACATTTTTTACACATGCAAATGATGTTACCTTGTTCGTCAGGTTTATCAAGGAATTCAAAATTTGCCCACACATCTGAAGTGAGCTTTCGTTGGCGCTTGAAATGAATTCCAGGCTTATTCAGCGAGGTGACATTAGAGGTTTTCTTCTTTGATTCCGTTTGATGAGAATCAGAAACTTCATCATCTGAATCAGAATCCGGAAGATCAATGGGTTCATCAGGATTAGGGCTATTAGCCATCTGTGAATAAATTAAAAAAAGAATTACACTCATATCCGAAGTATAAACATGAAAAACAGAAGTATAAACTCATGAGTCATGACATAAAGAATCAAACTCATGAAATTGCAGAGTAAGAAAATCAAATCAGGGCAAAAAATCGCATAAACAAATCGCAAATAATCGCAAAATAAGTAAATAACAAATCAAATCTTCGAAAGAAATTGCAGAGTAAGAAAATAACAAACGAACAACATTAAATGATTAAATCACATAAACAAAGCATACATAAACCATAATAGCAAAAAATCGCTTAAAAAATCAAAGAAATCTGAAAATTGCATAACCAAATCAAGGAAATTGCATAAACAAATGACTCATGAGCAAACAAACTCATAAAAAATCGAATAATAGGATTATTACCTTCAGAATGTTTGAGATGAAGCTTCAATCTTCAAGGTTCAAGAATTTTTATTTCAATCTTCAAGAGTTAGAGAGAGAAAAGAGAGGAGAGAAGAGAGAGAAACTGAGAAGAGAGAGAGTTTGAGTGAAAGTCTGAAAGAAAGCGGGGAGTGAAAGAGGAAAAGCTTAGGGTTAGATAATTTGGGCTTGGCCCATATTTTTAAATTAGGGTTTTAAGTTAAGCGGGTTGGGTTCGGGTTGACCCGACCTGAAACCGACCCAATTAAATAAACGGGTTTATGCGGGTTGGTTTCGGGTTGGGATTTTCAACCTGAACCCGACCCATTTAACTTCAGGTCGGGTTCGGGTTGACCCAATTACATAAACGGGTTGAAAATCTCTATCAAAACCCATTTATTTCGGGTTGGGTTCGGGTCGGGTTGTCGGGTCGGGTCAGCTTTTGCCAGCCCTAATTATGACTAATGAGCAAAGAAATATCACTCTATGCTAGTATGTTATTAATAAAGGCAATTCCCAAAAAAAATCCTAACACTATTTTAGAAATAATATTGCTAGACTTTACTATAATAGTTTATGTAGTTATTTAGAATATTTTTTTATATGGAAACATAAATGTATAATAAAAAAATTTAAAAAAGACAGCGAATCATAAAGAGACATTTGTCAGTCTCACATTGAGGCGCTTGTCTTTTAGTATAATATATAGATAGATAGATAGATAGATAGATGCGTTTCAAAACACGAACCGTGAAAAGTCAAATGAGTCAAAATAAAGGGACCGACGGAGTATATATATAAAATATTTGACAATATCATTTGAAAAGGAGATAAAAACTAATAAGTTAACTGAAACAAATAAGGCATTAAAACAACATAACACATTTGATCAAGGCTTTCCTTTTAATTTTAGTCGTCTCTTAATTTTTGTTTCAATGAATTAATCAATTAATATATAGATTTCCATCCTAACATTCATCACCTTTGATATATATTTTTTTTAAGAGTCCATAAATTCTATTAATAGTTAAATTGGAAATATTATATAAAAGAACGCTAATAATAATTCAGAAAAATTATATTTAAATTTTCATTAATGGAATGTAATTTTACATACGGTATAATATGGAATATTGGAGTACTTACAAGATTACCCTAGGTATTTTATTGACCTATATAGATGTTGAATATGTTGGTAGTAGACATTTCAAATCAACTAAAGTCTAAAAGTACACAAGTGACCCCTTGACGTGCATATTCAACTCATGGTTCATGATTCTACAACGTATTTTTATTTTTTATTGGTTTAATTTCTAAGTTAAGTACACCCTTAAATGAAGTTTTTCATCATGTATAATTGTCATGCATATACTTCATTATCACTCTGATTTATATCTTAATCAATACTTTATTATCATAAACAAGTATAATGAAAGGATGAGAAGATTTGTGGACCAACACGTACTAACCCAATGTGGAAAGGATGACGTCAATACATGGTACGATTTATACAAAATTAGCTCTTAATTCCTGGTACAATAAGCATTTATAGTCTTTCTACTTAAGCAAAGAACATAATTAACCAATATTGATTAGGACTTTTATTGTGTTTTGCAATACTAAAATTGTAGGGTTTTCACACAAATGCAATCCATCAAATTAACTAATGACTAAGCTAAAACTACTTTGATCTTGCCCATTATCACATTGTGGCAATTGTTTGCATGATTAAATTTTATAAATGAAAACTTAAAGGGAAATTAAACTTTAGTAGTGTGTCAAAAAAAAAAAAAAAAAACTTAGTAGTGTGTTCCCTGAAAAAAAATAAAATAAAAAAGCTTTGTAGTCCGATATCGGTTATAGGAATACTACGCCCGACTTTAGAAAATTCACAATGTTATACAGTACTTTCCATGACATAGTCTTCATACTTCATAGTGTACCTTTCTGTCCATACAAACTGAAAAAGCATACACTCATTCAATGTAAAAGTGCATCTAATCCAATTATAAATCAATAGAAAGCAACCAAGGACCTTACTAGTTCAAATAATTATAGAAGCAAAATTTTGGAGCATAACTAATTAACTACCACTGTGTATTATGATAGATTAGGTTTCAAAAAAAAAAAAAGTATTATGAATGTAGCTTTAATTTACATTAGTTACTCTTGTATGGTGTAGCTTTAATTTACTTATTAATTAGGGATCTAATCTTAATATGGTGTACCCTTGTATATATAGCCAATTCCATTCAATGAGATATATCAAAGTGTATACGGAGAACAACTTTGTATCAAATACGTACAAAGCGAGTACCTAATTAAATTTAAAGATAGTTTAATGAATCTTAATATATTGTGATTTATAACGGAATACTTAATATTGACTGAAACGAATTTCTTATTAATGAATGAACCATGAAAAAATTACGTCATCCATAAAATCATAAAAATTTGGTTTTGGATTCAACCAAACCAACTTTGTATACTAGATTATGCATGGTACATCAATAACTAATTTGTGTGATAGGTTACTTTAACTCAGATGATATGAAGTGAGTACGTAGTATGTAATTTTGTAAAGAAAGCTTTATTTATATTACTCGATGTTCATGATAAATTTTCATCTTATTCGTAAAACATATATATATTGAAAAAAATTAAGCTTAAAATAAAGAACACATAAAGTTTTATAGCATCACACGCAGCTTTATGTTCCGGCTATTGGTTTAGGGAGTTTGATTTATCCTTGTCTAGACAAGCATCTACTTCATAGTGAAATGATCATCACTTGCATTGCTATATATACTTGGCCTTATTAGCTTATGGATTATGAAGTAGTATATAGAGATCACGAATTGCATGTCATGTATCATGTAATCATCATGCATGACAAATCACTTGACAAATGAATCAAGGTAAACAAGGGTGAATTTGGAGTTTTGATGTTGACGTAGCAGATTTCTACTTGCTACAGAGGGAGCATAGTGGGACAGGGTATGTCTATAAATAGTAATGCAATGTGTACGTGATAGTTTGTTACATGTAAAAATAAAATACATAATTGTTATATCAAGTAGAGTTAGATTATTTTCATTGGAGAAATGATGAAAAACATGTATAGTTTGATGAAAGGTCATTTTAAAGGGGTTAGATTTAGATGCAATTGGTCCCATGCATTGGACCCTCTTCTTCCTCCTTCATTTTCAAATGTCGGCTCTTTTTACAAATACCATATACTTTATATAAAAATGGCTTCAACTAGAGAGAGACTTGCTACTTGAATTTTATTCGTTTAATTCTTCTTTCTTCTTGATTATTCATCTTAAAAAAAATCTAAGTTCTAGTTTGATAAGTCACTTAAATATAGTGTGGAACTAACTAGATAGCTAGCAAGGAGTAGTGTGACTACAAAATTAAAATGGGGCACCATTCTTGTTGTAACCAACAGAAGGTTAAGAGAGGGCTATGGTCACCCGAGGAAGACGAGAAGCTCATGCGATATATCTCTACTCATGGCTATGGTTGTTGGAGTGAAGTCCCTGAGAAAGCTGGTTTGAGCTCCCCCTAATCACTCATTTAGTCTTTTATAATTTGATTTCTTTCTTACTAGTTATTATGTAGTGAGAGAGTTTATATGACTCTTTCTTCGGAGCATGCATTACCATCAAACACTAGATAGTCACGTACTTTGTATATCGTTCTATGTGATATATGCACATTTTGGTACTTGCTTTGGTATATTTGAGTATATGGTCCTATAAACATGGTGTAAGTTGGTGTATGTACATAAAATCTAAATTAATGTGCATGTAATGTACAATGTTAAGCTAATGTTAGTCTAATTTTATTTTTGAACAAATGCAGTTTAAACCAATCAAGCTATTTAGTCCCTTAAAAATAATTGAAGTAAGAGCAACCAAAAAAAATCATAGCTAAAATGATCATGCATTTTCTCATTTAGGTTTCAATGAGATAGAAAGAAAAAAAAAAAATTATAATTTGTTCAGGTTGTGATTGAAAATAGTGGCAAACATACAAATGAACCTTAGAAACTTTCAATACTCAATTAAGTTTTTCATAGTAAATACATGCTAAAGAACTATTTAATCAAGTACGTACATGCATCATCAACATTCTGACAATGTCTTCACTTTCTACAAAATTTTCTATGGTTAGGGCTTCAAAGATGTGGCAAAAGTTGTCGTTTAAGATGGATTAACTACTTAAGGCCCGATATAAGGAGAGGAAGGTTCACTCCAGAAGAAGAGAAATTGATCATCAATCTTCATGAAGTTGTAGGAAACAGGTTCTTCAATTTAACTCCTTTAAATTACTTATTTCCCTTCATAATTACCCTACTTGCAATGCAAGGTTGCTAATGCATTGTTATTAGTAGTAATAAAACTACATGATTAATAAGTACATTACTCGATTGATAAAAAAAATTGAATACTATTTAGCTAGCTCTTTATGTAGCTCATTCATCAAGATCAACCCTCATCTGATCTCCAAGATGCATATTTTCAATATCCTTTTTAGATTTTTGGTGAAAGAACTCAGTATCTATTTCGAGTATGACATATTGATCAAGTTGTTGCATACTTGCAAATAGACAATAGATTCTAATTAGCCCTCATTTTCTCAATTCTATTGTCATTAACAAGCAACATCAATTGATTTGTAAACAGTAGAAACTACCAACTTGATTAATTGCTGAACAACTGAACATTAGCTTCTAAACTAAGTTTGAGTAGAATTTCATCAACTCTAAATATTCAAATAATATAATGTATCTTGTACACTAAGTTTATACTATATATGAGAAAATTTCATGCACGTTTTTTTGTACAAGTTTAGAATACTAAAACTATTACACATGCTTAATACACCTTGAAGCAACTTTGAGGGTTGGCTGCCTTGTCTTTCAGTTGGAATTCTCACATCATAGCATTATTCATAAGTTGCCTTATTACTTCCCTTTCTTCCTTTCATTTTGTCAACTAATAACTACCACTAATACAAAAATTCTTGGTCAAGTATGAACTATCAATCTATAGTATTACTTTAAATTTTCTTTCCCTATGTGGATTTGTTACATCATCCTTTTCAGTATTTTAGTCATCATATATTCATCGTTTTTGTACGTTTCACGTAAACTGTCATATTTGAACTAATAACTACTTACTAATACAAAACTCTTGGTCAAGTATGAACTATCAATCTATAGTATTACTTTCAATTTTCTTTCCTTATGTGGATTTGTTACATCATCCTTTTCATCAGCATTATAGTCATCTTATATATATTCATCGTTTTGTACGTTTCACGTTAACTGTCATATATGTCAATTCTCCACATATATACTTGACTAAAAGTGATAAATATTCTCTCCATTCCCATTACATTAATTTAAATTCACTTTATTTTAATAACTAGAAAATCTTGTGTGGACCTTGTCCACAATAATATTATTGTGGACTTAAGGTTTATACACATGTAACTGGTATTATATTCAACGTAGTGACCCCTAATTTTATTATAGTAACCTTTTTTAAAACTCGTGTGACCCTAATGTTATTATGAACTTAAAGTACAATATTATGTTGAATAATGACCTAATTTTAACATAGTGATCTTTATTATTCATATTGATCATTATATTAAAAAATTCATCAAAAAAACTAAGCTCTTCTAGCTTTTATGATGTCACACTAATTTTATTTCAACAATAACTTTTATTTTAATTTAGTGACCTTTTTTTATTAATAAAACAATCATATTGTCTCTAAGGTTAGTGGTCCACAATAAATTAGTGTAAACCAGGTTCATTTGAGAATTTGTACCATAGATAAAGAGTAACATGCTTTTTTTAAAAAAAAAATAATAAAAATAAAAATAAAGAGTAACATAGGTCAATAAGGTAATGAAGATTATGTTAGAATATAATAGTATTATGATTATCCATAGTTAGTTTGCATTTATATCTATATATGTATGACATAGCCATTTGAATGATATGCAGGTGGGCACATATAGCAAGTCACTTGCCAGGAAGAACAGACAATGAAATCAAGAACTATTGGAATTCTTGGATCAAGAAAAAGATCCGAAAACCCGTTTCTTCCTCCACGCCGTCCGCCCCTTCAACCACAAACACAACCACCACCTCCACCACCACCACCACTTCCGCGCAAGCCCATGCAGCCATTGGCTCCTCTAATTACCCGTTTATCATAAGGTTTGGACCCGACCCAATTCACGGGGTGAATCAAGATGGGCCCACAAAGGAGGACACAATATCCACACAAGAAAATAACACAACCCTAATTCCTTCCTCTTGTCCCTTATTCATGTTCGACACAAGTATCCAAATCGACCCAGTTATTATTGGTGACAACAATGGTATTACTAGTAGTAATGCCATGGGATTAAGTACATCTTACCAACAACAAATTTGGAATTCTTGTAACATGCCAATATTCACTAATATTGGCACCACTAATAATATGCCAATATTTACTGATTGCACCACTAGTACTATAAGTACTATTAGTGGGTTGGATTTAATTACTAACAATAATAGCAATAATTATATGCCAAGTTTGGTAGATAGTATGGATAGCATGGTTCCAAATGAGGTACATTCATGTACAAGTGAAGGTATTGAACAAGAACATTATCGAATGGCGGTCAATCAATGCGTGCCAAGGCAACATGAAAGCGATCATCATGATCAATTGGTGGGTGTTAATGGATGGGGAATGATTGAATCACAAAGTTGCCCTAGTTTACTATTTTGGGATCAAGTTGAAGATTTGACTCTTAACAATATTGGTGATGAGGAGCATCAACTTGGACCGTCTTCGTCGTCCAACACGGGAACATTGCTCTCTTCTTTCCCTTCTCCTTTGTGAGGAATTGATCTGCTAAATCATCCAGCTATAGAGTTTACTGATTTTTCTTTCGAATTCAAACAAAGGGCTTGATTTGGAGAATTTTTATTTTTTTGGGTTTGATTTTTTATTGGCTATTTATATATACAATGATTGAGTGTGGTGAGGTGCTAACTTGAAGTTTGTATAAATGATGCGATGTCCTTAGTTATTATTTTTTTTATGGTAAGACGAAGAGCACTCATTTGAGAAGGAAGATAAGAGAAATCCCTCAAATGAGTTTCATGAGATTTGATCTCTAGATTAGAGGGATCTGAGGTGTGGAGCAACACCACTACTCCACTTCAACTTTATACGATGTAATCCGTTTTACGTAACCATACATGAAATGTATTTTTATTTTTTTTTACTTGAGTCGAAATACAAAGTGATAGAATGAATTCAACAGCTTGATGAAATGGTGGTTTAGTCCATTTGTTAATATTTTCAATCTTTTCCAACACCAAACAAACAAAGATTATATACTCTTATTTTTTTGAGAGAAGATTATTATATACTCTATCTACTCTTACCCCATTTAGCAATTCTCTTTCTATCCTCCCCCCACCTCCTCTATCCCATCCACCATCCCACGTACCAAACGCCTTGAATACATGAATACAATCATAATACGAAGTATTATGGAATTTAATACTCTCTTCGTTTTTAAATACTTGCTCCATTTCTCCATGCGCGGAGTTTTAAGAAAAATTGAAAAAAATAATAAAATATGAAGGTAGTGGGGGTAGGTGAAAGAATAAACAATTGTAAAAGCAAAAGTAGTGGAGAGAATTAGAGGAGAGAGAATATAAAATTAATAAAATATGATTTACGTTGGATCCACTAGGTGAGATAAATGAATTAAATATTGTAAAAGCATTCCAAACAAGGAAATGGAGCAAGTATTTAAAAACTGCCGAAAAAGAAAAATAAAGCAAGTATTTAAAAACGAAGGGAGTATATTAAAGCTTATGATACACTTGAATGAATCATCTTATAAAACCCTTGTGGGTACATGATATGATTTCACAATAGGCCAATGGATTTACCAAGCTTAGATGTGACAATTGGGTTGTTCAGATAGGGTTCGGATCACATTAATTTAGTTGGGTTAGAATTGATAAGATCGTGTAAGATCAAGTGAAAGTCTTTTTTTGTTAAATGCCAATATGCTTAGTCTAATAAAATAAACTATAGACACATTGTTGTCGTGTTGGGTCAAAATAAAATCAAGTGATTTGATTTAGAAGAGTTTGAGTTCATTTTCGAGTATTATAAAAAGGGTCTTTTGGAGTTAGTTTTGCTAGATAAAATTTTGATTTGGAGATGTCTAATAACAATTACATCATTAATATTACGGAGTATTATAACCTCAACACGAACGAGTCATTACTTGAACTGTAACCAAACTACTCGATTATCACCTCTAAAATAACGGGCTTGAATTCATCTTTGATCTTTCGTTACCTACACAAAAAAACGAAAATGGTTAATTTTAAGCCCATGAAATGGTAGTGGCCCAAAAATAATGAAAAAAAAAATGGTTAGAAAAACAAAGGAAAGAAGAAAACTAGGGTTTCTCTGCGATTTAAGCTTATTATTTCAAGTTAGTATTGCGGCATTCTCTTGAAAACTCTTTGCAAAGTTTCGAACTTTACATCGATTCCCAGATCACCCGTCTTCTTCTTCCCATCACCATGGTATTCCCCTATTTCTATTTCACATTCTCTGTTTTAGTTTTTATTTTTTTGACTTGTTGCAATGTTAATTTTTTTTTTGGAATTGATTAAAAATTTTGGGATATTGTTGAACAGATTATAACTGAGAAGAACCGCCGTGAGATCAGCAAGTACCTCTTCCAAGGTAATCTTTCTTTCCTAGTTACGTTTATTATACATCATTTAATATTGTGGATGCAATTTTATATGAAAAGACTGTATTTTCCCAGTTATTTTTCATTTTAATGGTAAAATAGTTGTTTAGAATATTGAAGAGGATAAGATTTCTGGGTTTTTGCTAATGTGGCTTGTAGTTGTTTATCAATTTAACAGCTGAAATGTGTAATTTTGTTGTTATTTTGGGTTTTTGTTTGTAGATTTTACCATGAAGTTGCTTTAGCTTTAATTTGTGATGCTATTGGATTATTGGGAGTTTAAGGGACTGATGAATCTGGGTTGTATTTGGTTTTTATTTTGTATGGAAAATGTGATAGCTACAACAATAGCTTAAGACAGAGTATTACTAATTTATTTTTGAAATATTCAGCTTCCACTTTGCCGGTTGAATGTAGATCGCATTTATTATGATTGTTTCAAAAATTGTACTCTGAATCGTCATTTGAATTGAAAATATTGTAACATTTCTAAATTTTTCCTTAAAAATTGTTTCAGCTAGGTGATTAGATTGTGATTTTTACTGTCGTATATGTACAGTAAATAATCCTCTAAGCATATTGTTTCAGCATACGGATTGTGCTACTTTGTCTATTGTGTCTCATAATGGCATTTGCTTCTTATAAACTGAGTATTAATTGTCGAGCTTTCCTTGTATTGTTGAATGTTGACTTGTTGTTGCTTGTTATGTGCTATTGACTGTTTTTAGGGTTTTAGTGAGACCTGGACTTCAGGGATCATTCTTTTATCCTAATGTTTTCGAGATGTTAGTTTGTTGTTCTGATTTAAAAGTGTTAATGTGGCTTAATCAGAGGGAGTTTGCTTTGCAAAGAAGGACTACAACTTGGCCAAGCACCCAGACATTGATGTCCCTAATCTACAAGTGATCAAGCTGATGCAAAGCTTTAAGTCAAAGGAGTATGTGAGGGAAACCTTTGCTTGGATGCACTACTACTGGTATCTGACCAATGAGGGTATTGAATTTCTCCGCAATTATCTCAACCTCCCCTCAGAGATTGTTCCTGCTACCTTAAAGAAGCAGGCGAAGCCTGCTGGCAGACCCATGGGTGGTGCTCCTGGCCCACGGTAATTGCTGACTTTTCTTTTTCTCCCAATGCTTCACGTCGTGTAATTGTATGGTATTTGTGTACGCTACATACTTTCATTATTTGTTCTTGTCTGACCTTATTGTTCTGTTGGTGAACTTCGATCAGTGGTGGATCTCGATTTGAAGGAGACAGGCCTAGGTTTGGTGATAGGGAAGGCTACCGTTCAGGACCTCGTGGGCAAGGTGATTTCGGTGAGAAGGGCGGTGCTCCTGCTGACTACAGACCATCTTTTGGGGTAAGTGTGAATTGTTGATTGTGCTAAATGCATGTGTATCTGGGGTAGTTGTTGCTTGTTGATTGTGCTAAATGCATGTGTATTTAGGTGCTTTTTGGTTGTTGATTGTGCTAAATGCATGTGTATCTGGAGTAGTTTTTTGTTGATTGTGCTTAATGTGTACTCCCTCCGTCCCTCATTGATAGTCACTTTTGCCATTTTTGGTGACCCAAAATGTTAGTCACATTTGTTTTTTTCAAAAACCATTAATATTATTTTTTTTTACCAAAATTCTCTCCCATTTGCAAAAATATTTGTGCAAATTTAACTTTTCTATGTAAATTTTACTTTTCCATGTACTTTAATTACTTCCTCTCTACTTTTTTTTTCCATACCCATTGTAAATTTACTTTTTCAATGTACTTTTGCTACTTCTTATTTATGTTTATTAATTCCCGTGACTTTCTACCAAAAGTGACTATCAATGGGGGACGGAGGGAGTATTTCTTTGTTCTTTTGATGTCCTTTTGATATGGGTTTGATCATACATGGCTTGTATTTTGACCCCATATTTGATGATCAAATATTTGATCAAGATATTGTTATATCTCTGTGAATTAGTGAATGTAGTTATATCTTTTGAAGGACTAGCTGTTCTGCCAGCTTATAATGTAGGCATGAGTACAATCTTGAAGGAGATATACCATATGAGATGAGAGTGTGTGAACTCTTATAGCTTGGTTTAGCTATATCCTGGCCTATTTGAAATAATTAGTGATGAGAATTGTTATCAGGTAATTTTACAATGTTTGAGCCTTTTAAAGGGTGATTGGATTCATTGATCTACGGCTGGGGTCTGGATTGGTTTAGTTAGGTAGCTTTTTATAGAGGAGTTCAATAAGAGAGCTTATTGATAGTTACACTCGTGTCTGATTTACCTCTGATGCGTACCATAGTGTTTGTTCAGGGGTAAATTAATTATATTGATATGATGGTATATACTGCCAGCCATCCTAATGATTATGTTGATGGTATATACTGCCAGCCATCCTAATGTTTGTTCAAGGGTAAATTAATTATATTGATATGATGGTATATACTGCCAGCCATCCTAATGATTATATAAACTTTAGGATGCAGGATAGAATTATCCACTCAATAATGTGCAAATTTGTGTCAATGTTCAACATGTGAATTCGCTAAATTATCCTTCAACGTGTATGGTTATAATGTCCATAAAAGGTCTTACCATGTATACTCTGTGTGATTGTCAAACTCCGTACTTTGTTTCTGGTAGTACCACATTTGTCTATGACTATTGATTTATTTATTTTATTATTCCATTTTACAGGGTCCTAGTGGAAGCGGAAGGCCAGCCTTTGGTCGTGGAGCTGGAGGCTTTGGTGCTGCACCACCAAGCTCAAATCTTCCTTGAAAATCTACTACTTTGAAATGAATAGGACTATTCCAGTTTTGAATGTCATGACAATTTTGGATTGAGTTGAAGCTATAATCATTACAATATTTTGCAAGAGGCTCCCTTTTAGGATGATTACTTGTACCTTGAGTTTTTCTCTGGTTGGTGGATGTTGTGAATACTCAAGAGATCATCTGCATGGCCACAATTTTAAGCTTCTGTTTATTGCTAAAATTTTGCTATTGCCGTCTATGCTAAAATTTTGCTATTTGCCGTCTTTGCTAAAATTTTGCTATTGCCATCTGAATATACTATTGTGCTTATTATTGATTAAACTGCACAATTTGAAGTTCAACAATTTTAGTACATTTCAGATATGAAACAACTCATAAAAGTTCTGTGACATTGTTTACTTCCAAGTAAAGGAATAAAATAACCTCTCGTTGCTCCTTGTTTGTGTATTAATGAATCTGTTTAGTTGATACATCAGTCATATGTTCTGTGTCTGTCATGCTTCTATTTTCCTTTCGGCTGAAGCTAAGAGGTTACAGAGTACAGTATGAATTAGCAGATGCAATTTGCAACGTTACCAGAATTAAGCAAAATGAATATTGGCTATTTATTTTTTCCCTGTAAAAGAAAAATACAATCCTAACTGGTTTAATTTTCTTTTCTTTTTTTTTGGTGAACAGTAGTTTAAATTGTTAAATGTACTACTTTTTTGGGTGGTGTTAAGCTGTTAACCGTGTTTCTAAAACAGGTAATGGAAGATCACGAAGAATTGTAGAATTCAAGTGAAATTTCAGATTTTACAGAACAACTAAAGGCTTTATTATCAAACATATGATGTGCTAATTACAAGCATCGATATTTCAGTTTATACAGCCCTGTATTTTCGCCAAAAATAGAAGGGGGTATTCCATAGTCAAAACTCAAAAGAAAACAGGTTGAAGACCTCACCAAAACAAAAAAAGACCTTGCAAAGTCACAACCAGACCTGCATTTCAAAACATTGTGATTATGCAAGAATGTTAGCTCTTGTTTTATTTTTAGTCAACTTCCTCCATTTTGCTTTCTTCAGCTTGATCTTCCTCCAGTGATGGCATTTCCTCCACACCAGCATTCTCATCCTCCTCAATACTCAGACCTAATTTCAGCATCCTGTGAATCCTTGCAGAAAAAGTGTTAGGATCATCAAGGCTAAAACCTGAGTTCAGAAGTGCGGTGTCATATAACAGCAGCACAAGGTCCTTGACAGATTTGTCATTCTTATCAGCTTCAGCTCTCTTCCTTAACTCCTCCATAATACCGTTATCTGGGTTGATTTCCATAGTTCTCTTGCTTGCCATGTAAGCACTTATACTTGAATCTCTCAATGCCTGAGCCTTCATGATCCTCTCCATGTTAGCTGACCACCCATACTCCCCAGTCACAAGAACGCAGGGCGAATCAACAATTCTGTCAGAAACTACCACTTTTTCCACCTTGTCACCTAGAATATCCTTGATCACTTTGCAGAGATTCTCAAATGACTTCCTTTTCTCCTCCTTCTGCTGCTTCTCTTCCTCGGTTTCCTCAATCTTTAATACCTCTTTTGTAGCAGATACAAGCTTGTGCCCTTCGTACTCTTTCAACTGTGTGATAGCATACTCATCAATAGCATCTACCATGAAGAGAACTTCATAGCCTTTCTTCTTAAGCCTCTCAAGGAAGGGAGAGTTCTCAACAGCTTTCCTGCTCTCGCCTGTGATGTAGTAAATATCTTTCTGGCCCTTTTTCATTCTGGTAACATAGTCCTTCAAGCTAGTCATTTCATCACCGCTGTTTGATGAGTAATACCTCAACAAGTCAGCTAGTTTAGCCCTGTTCTGGCTGTCCTCATGAATTCCTAACTTTATATTTTTGGAAAATGCATCATAGAACTTGGCATAATCATCTTTGTTTTCAGCAATTTCACTGAACATTTCAATGCATTTCTTGACAATATTCTTCCTTTTGACCTTAAGGATCTTGTTCTGCTGCAGCGTTTCACGGGAGATGTTCAGGGGTAAGTCATCAGAATCAATTACTCCTTTGACAAATCCCAGGTACTCTGGGATTAACTCTTCACAGTTGTCCATGATAAACACCCTCCTGACATACAGCTTGATGTTATTAAGTTTCTTCTTCGTGTCGAAAAGATCAAATGGTGCCCTCTTTGGAATGAAAAGGATAGCCCTGAACTCGAGCTGCCCTTCGACTGAGAAGTGTTTCCAGTGAAGAGGGTCCTCCCAGTCATTAGTGAGGCTCTTGTAGAATGAGCAGTATTCCTCTTTGTTAACATCTTCTGGCTTCCTGAGCCAAATTGGCTTCTGTTTGTTGATCTTCTGCCACTCATGTGTCACCTCTTTAATCTTTTTCTTCTTGCCTTTCTTTTCCTTGTCTTCGTCCACATCTTCAACTTGTCTCTCTTCTTCCTTCTCTTCCTCCTCGTCATCACTGACTTCCTTCTCAGTAGTCTTTTCTACCCAGAGGTAGATAGGGTAGCTTATGAATTCAGAATGCTTCTTCACAAGGTCCTTTATCGTCCTTTCTTCCAAGAAGTCCAGCTGCAAAATCATTGAAACATATTTATATATGCAGCAAGCCAGCAACATATGGCTACATCTTACCAAATTATGGAATGACAACACACAATGTAGCTTCAAAAAAAAATTGCATTCTCATTTACATTCCAATATTTTTTTAAAATAAAAATTCTAAAAGTGTACCATCATCCATGGGGATGTAGCTCAGATGGTAGAGCGCTCGCTTAGCATGCGAGAGGTACGGGGATCGATACCCCGCATCTCCAATGCCAAATTTGCTTTTTTACTTTCCTCAGCAGTCCCTTAGCCCGTTATTTCATGACATACAGGAATTTATGTTGCAAACACCTAAAAACAAGCATAGGGCTATCTTGACTTCCAGTTAGTAGTCACTAACTACTTGTAAACATGGCAATGGTAGAGAAAGCAAACTGGTTTCACTACAAACTGCACAAATACTATCTCACAGCAAGGTTTCAATAATTCAAAATTTTCATATTTTGCACACTTTGTTACTCTATGCTACTTGTTCATTGGACTCAGCACTCAGGTATAGCTATTTAGCTAGATAACATCCATGGGGATGTAGCTCAGATGGTAGAGCGCTCGCTTAGCATGCGAGAGGTACGGGGATCGATACCCCGCATCTCCATTCAAGTTTTACCTTTTGACCTCTCAACGCCCCTTCCATTTCAAAGCACTCAAATTTTTTTATTTTTTTTTTCCATGCAGGTTGAAGCTCTCAGAAAACAGATGTGATTCATGGTCAGAAACCCAGATACAAGTTAGGCCAATCCTGAATTTAAGCTGCAATTTAGTTGATAGCAAAACAAGCCCAAGAGTCTGAGACTAACTCATTGTTCTCAAGTAAATCGAACCACAGGTTCTGAGTTCAAATAATCCAATATTTTGGCATTTTGCAGATTAACCCATGGGACTTTGCTATTGTTCTTTGATTACAGCCAAAAAAGTAAGGTTCTATAACAGTCATGGGGATGTAGCTCAGATGGTAGAGCGCTCGCTTAGCATGCGAGAGGTACGGGGATCGATACCCCGCATCTCCAATCAATATCCAATTTTAATCCTTTTTTGTGACGCCTCACAAAAACCATTATAATTAGCACATAACAGAACACAGTTTCATTTGCTCTTTTTTTCCTCATGCAAGTTGTCATTTTCAGTGAATAAATGTGAGTTTTAAGTCTGCAGACCAATTCAGGCCAATCCTAAAACTAAGCTACACTTACAAACAAATGTAAACAAAAGCAAGCTGCTACCCTCCACCACCTTTCAACATAATCCAACCATGGGTTCAAATAATCCAAATGCTCTGACATCAAGCACAGATAACATACACTTTGCTAGTCTTGGTTGATCACAGTTAGAGCGCTCGCTTAGCATGCGAGAGGTACGGGGATCGATACCCTGCATCTCCATTTTTGTTGTCATTTTTTTAAAAATCAATATATGATTGGATTGTCCAACATCATCAGTAATTTTAACAAGCCATACTAGCCAAAACCATAGGAAAAGCATACTGCATACAAATACAAACAATCGAGCAATTTAGCAAGTACAAAAGAATGGTATGAAGATTTTACCTGGTCATCCTTGAGGAAGAGGGTGATCTTAGTACCCCTGCCTAAAGGCTCTCCATTGATATCCCTAGTAACAGTAAAAGAGCCACCAGCATGAGACTCCCAAATGTATTGTTCATCATCATTATGCTTGGTTGTCACCACCACCCTCTCAGCAACCAAATACGCCGAGTAAAACCCGACACCAAATTGTCCAATCATACTCACATCAGCACCTTCCTGTAGAGCCTCCATGAACTCCTTGGTTCCGGACCTCGCAATTGTTCCCAAATTATTCACCAGTTCTAAAACATCAAAATTATTTGTCATACAAATTTATTCCATAGGAGAAAGCATTTCGTATTAAAGTTGAACATAGCAGGCTAACAGTTTTGTTTCTAATTAAACAAATTCAAACGAACACATTGAAATTGATCATCAGGACGCCAGATACAACTCAAATTGATTGAGAATTACTTCAATGTTATCGAGTATATGCGATCTTAGGCTATATGAAACTAATTATAAAAATATTCAGCCTAAATAAGCATTAATAATACCAATCTACATGTGATTTCATCGTGAATTCAAAATTAATAAGAAGTGCTATGTATTTACAGTTTTAGGTCATTGTATAACAAAATTCATTAATCAACATTTATCGCTGACGAAGTGACGATCGCCGAAATTACACAGAAAATCTATAAACAAAAAACTGATAGATTAAATACATACAGTAGAACTAATTTATGGAAATCATTACGAAACCCAATCAGTCAAGAAAAAACCCTAAAATCTAAACATTTTAGTAAAACTACAATAAATTCAAACATCATTCAACAAAAATAATCAAGTAATTGAATAACGAAACATTCTAATTACGGCGAAAAAAAAAAAGAAATGATGATTTGAGATGAAGCAGAGTATTCCGTACCTTCTTTGGTCATTCCGACGCCACTATCAATAATCATGAGAGTTTTGTTAACTTTATCAGGTACAATTCTGATGAACAATTCTGGTTGAGTATCAAGTTTGCTCTTATCAATTAAACTCTCATGTCGAATTTTATCCAGCGCCTACAACACAACGAACAAAAAAATCAGCCAAAAAAAATCAAAATCGATCAATTAACATTACAAATTCATCATAATTTTGAAGAATTTGAGGAGAGAGAAACGTACATCAGAAGAATTACTGATGAGTTCACGAAGAAAAATCTCCTTGTTACTGTAAAAAGTGTTGATGATTAAACTCAGAAGCTGATTGATCTCTGCTTGAAACGCGAAGGTCTCTCTTTCGCCTGACATCTCAACGTCCGCCATTGATGAGTTCTTAGTAGATTATTGAGGAGTTGATGATTAGTGAACTGATTAGCAGATTTCAGATGATTTTTGTTTTCTGAAGAGAGAGAAAGGAAGAGTAGGGGTTTTTATATAGGGAGAAAAAAGGGGGATTTTCGGGTGAATTCTTTGGTTTTATGGCGGCAATTCTTGAGTGTACGTAGACACGTAGTAGATGCAAGGTTTTGGAATGTGTTTCCGCGCTTTCTAGAAAATACTCATTTACCCGTATATCTTGTTTATTTAACTGAATTTTTTTTAGGGATAATCATTAATCCTATATTCTTACCTATCGTAATTTTCAAGTGTTGGATTTAGCCATTACTGCCGTCAGGGTCTGTTCACATTTATTGAATCGATCTGAACTGAACTGAACTGTTTGGAGTTAAACTGAACTAATTAGGAGCTGAACTGAACTGAATAGAGCTGAAATGACGAATAGTTTATGAGAGATGGAAATTAAGAGCTGAATTGAACTGAACTGAACTGATTGGAGCTGAATTGAATTAAACTGAACTGATTAGAGCTAAACTAATCTGAACTGAAATTAAGCTGAAGTGAACAAGCCATTAATCAAATTAAAGGCCCTATGTTAAACTGCTAACTACAAAATTAAGGTTTTTTTTTTAGGCAAAGCAGGGGAATTTTATTTATTCAACTGAGGACAGGTTGTCCATTAGTACATAGGGAGATATATCACTAGGACAACAATTCGACCATTGTTGCTCGACACCAAAAGGGATGACACGAGCTAAATGGTGTGCTACAAAATTCCCTTCCCGCTTTACATGAGACCAAGAAATAAAGTCAAAGTAAGAGCAATCATCTAGCACTTCGTCAAGCAGGGAGTCTAGAACAGAGAGGTAGGTAGAAGCCTTTGTGAGACGAGAGATAATTGTGCTATTGTCTGACTCAAGAATGACATTTTTAAGACCATGTTGCTTCGCCAATTTGACAGCATAAACCGCAGCTTTGCATTCTGCCAGTTGAGGAGACCTGTGAACTTTATACCTTCTAACACCAGCAAACAAGACCTCGCCCAAGTGGTTGCGAGCAACAGCACCTAGCCCGACCCACCCTTCAACATTTAAAGCTGCATCACAGTTAATTTTTATGCAGTCTTGAGATAGAGGCCGCCAGATTCTCGAGCTCTTGGGAGATTTGGGAAGTTTGCAACTATTAATCTTCTTATTGTACCTGTCATAATCATCAACAAGGTTCGACATTCGCATAATGACAGAGCTATGGGAAGTTTCCTTGTTGTTAAAAATTTTATTGTTGCGCCTTTCCCAAATAAGCCAAAGAAGGGCAGCTCCTCTCTGTTGGGTCTTGACATCGACGCCACCCCAAGCTTCAATCAAGCTCTTAAAGTCGGGATAATCATCAATCATCACCAGATTTTCACATTTAGCAGCATTCCAAAGATCACAAACAGCAGGGCAAGTGAAGAAAGAGTGGTATAGTGTTTCACATACAGACATGCACCAGGGGCAAGAGTCGTCTTCTGCCATATGCATATACTTTAAGAGAGCACAGACAGGCAGTGAGCTGGTGCAGGCCCTCCAAAGTAGATGTCTGACTTTGGGAGTGGTCTCGAGCTTCCATAAATTTACCCAAGCTTGGTGAAATGAGTCAAGGTTTCAAGATATACCTAGCATGTAGGCAATCTTCACCGAATAAAGACCATCATTGGAGAACGCCCAAGTGAGTCTATCAATCGGATTCCTTTGGCTAATGGGAATCGAAAGAATGCACTTAGTGTCACGATCATTAAAAATAGTAGCTAGTAAATCATGATTCCAATCCATTGCCTCGAAATCAATTAAATCACTGACATTCTCCACCAAATCAGAGCGAGGCGAGAGAATTCTAGAGCCATTCTCATCAGCCACCCAGGGATCATCCCAAACCTTGATGCAACTTCCATTTCCAACACGCCAAATAAGCCCTTCTTTGACTAGAGCTTTGGCACCCCAAATACTCTTCCAAGAGTAGCTACAGGAAAGACCAAGAGAAGAGTCAAGGAAAGAACAATTATGGAAATATTTCTTACCCAAGACTCTGCTCAATAAAGACTTCGGGTTAGAGATTAATCTCCATGCTTGTTTACCAAGCATAGCTTCATTAAATACAGCCATATCTCTAAAGCCTAGCCCACCAAACATCTTCGGGTTGCACATGGAGTCCCAATTCACCCAATGGACTTTACGGCGATTATTAGAGTGGCCCCACCAAAATTTTGCAGTAAGAGATCTGATATCGTCAATGATGGAGCAAGACACTCTATAAACCCCCATAATGTAGGATGGAATTGCTTGAATGACCGATTTGATTAGAGTTTCCTTCCCGGCCGAGACAACAACTTCTCCTTCCACCCCTGCAGCTTTTTCCAGATTCTGTCTTTAAGAGCACAAAAAACCGCTTTCTTTGATCTTCCAATAATAGTCGGAATGCCAAGATAATTTCCATGTTCATCCACAAGTCTCATGCCCAAAAAATCCACAATCTCCTGTCTAGCTGACTCACATACACCTTTGCTAAAAGAGACCTCCAATTTTTTGTAATTAATTTTCTGTCCGGAAGCTGCTTCGTATTGGTTGAGAATATCAACTATCTTCGAGCATTCTCTTCAGTTGGCTCTAGAAAATAGCAAACTATCATCAGCATAGAAAATATGGGATATTATTAGGCCATTCCGACTGGCCCGAGCACCATGAATATCACCCTGCAGAACAGCCTTGTTAATAAGGCTTGAAAAAGCGTCAGCGACCATAATAAATAAATACGGGGATAATGGATCGTCTTGCCTCAAACCTCTCGACGAATTTACATCACCACACACTGCTCCATTGATAACAAAATAATAGGAAACTGTCTCGACAAAGCTCATGACCATCTTCACCCAACAATCAGCGAAACCCATTTTTAAGAGGAGTTTTTCCAAAAAAGGCCATTCCACTCTGTCGTAGGCCTTGCTCATGTCAAATTTCAAAGCTATCGTCCCTTTCCTTCCTTTGTTTCTCTTCTTCATAGTGTGAAATAATTCCAGAGCTACAAGAGCATTGTCTGTGATCAATCTACCCGGAACAAAGGCGCTTTGATTTTCAGAGATGGCATTCGGGAGAATAGACTTTAGACGCATCACAATAGCTTTAGAGGCAATTTTGTAAAGCACATTACAGAGAGCAATAGGCCTAAATTCAGACATGCTTCGGGGATCTTTCACCTTGGGAATCAAAACAATGTTTGTGCAATTAAATTTTGCCGGAGAAACAGTACCACGAAGAATGTTGCACACAATAGCAGTAATATCATCCCCAATAATATGCCAGAATTTTTGGTAGAAAATAGCATGTAAACCATCAGGGCCGGGAGCTTTGCAAGGGTGCATCTCGCAAATAGCAGAGTAGATTTCCTTCTTCGTGAAAGGCCGGAGAAGGTGAGTATTGTCCTCATGAGAGATTGAGGGGGTGATCGCGTCAAGAACCTCGCTGCAAGAGGTTTCAGAATGAAAACCGGCTGCAAAGAGATTAGAATAGTAATTTTGTACTATAGAGTCAATGTCCTCATCTTTCGTGCGCCACTCCCCATTCTCATCAAGCAGCCCCAAAATTGTGTTTTTCTTTTTCCGTTGGGATGCTTTATGGTGGAAATACTTTGTATTTTTGTCTCCGTCTTTTATCTCTGCCGACCTTGATCTCAAATACCAGTAGGCCTCTTGTTGCTCATAAATGCCATCAAGCTTCTTCTCAATTTCTGCCCCACGACGAATGTTATCATCCGACATCACCCCCTCTTGCACCTCCTGAAGTTGCTGCTCTAAGTCATCGATTTGTTGATGAAACTTAACAAATTTTTTGCCACTCCAACTCCGCAATGACCCAAGTAGCCTTCCAAGTCTGTCTAACATAAGGCAACCTTCAGTGTCTTTCCAGGTTTGTTTGACCACCTGCTCACATTCAGAATCGAGAAGCCATGTTGTTTCGAACTTGAAAGATTTCTTCCCTCTTCTACGCTTCCTTTTAGGCCGCCTCTATCTCACCAATATTAGGGTGTGATCTGATTTAAACCGGACAAGGTGCTCAACATATGTATCAGGGAACATAGAAAACCATTCATCATTTCCACAAAAACGATCAAGCCTCTCCCGAACACAAGTTTCTATGGTACGACCTCTCTGCCAAGTATACCATTGGCCTTCGTAACCCAAGTCACGCAAACCATGGTCATCAAGCACGTCACGAAAAGCATTAATCTCTCTACGTTCATTATCAGTGCCCCCTTCTTTCTCCTCCATACTAAGAATTTCATTGAAATCACCCCCGATTAAAATCGGGCCACAAATATTCTCACAAAGGGAACGGATAAGTGACCAAGTCTTGAATTTTTCAGCCGAGGCCGGCCAACCATAAACACCAATGAAATACCACACAAAGTCTGATTGTATTACTTTGCCACAAATGTGATGATCAGAAAAAGAAATGAGCTCAAAGTCAATTGAACTACTATTCCAGTACAAACATAAGCCTCCAGAGAGACCTCTACTACTCACACCAAAAGCACAATCGAAACCTAATCTATGTTTAACATGCTCAGAGGAAACTTTATTAATCATAGTTTTAGAAAGAAAGACAAGATTAGGGGCAAGAGAAGCACACCAATTGCTAAGTGCACCAACCGCTCGAGGGTTTCCAAGACCTCGAACGTTCCATCATAAGGTATTCATTGCTTTTCGAGGGGTTGGTTATGACCAGACCCCTCTACTTGATTTGAACCGTCTCCGGCAGTAGTAGAACCAACAATTTTCCCCTTCTTCACCGTCACAACCTCCAATTGAGCATCCCCTGCTTGCCTCTTGCGGTTTGCTGGGGCAGCCACACTAGATTGAACAATTGACCCCTCCTTGCTACGAACGATGGCTGCTCTGTCCTTCCTTTTCCATCCTCCCCCTTTTTACACCTCAGGCTCAATTTCTTGCATTATTTCATCTTGGTAGAAAGCGTCAGCAGCAACTGATTTTGTGATAATATTAGGATCTTCGAGAGTCACTTCTGCATTCCCTCCTCCACCATTATGCTTCGGCTTAGGATCAACACTGGGTTCCGTCCTCTTTTCCAGAGTTGAGTCATTGTTAACCTTGAGTTGCTTTCCCTGGTCAGCGATGATAGGTTGGGGAGCAGAGCTAAAATCAGTTTCTTCAACACCCTTCAACCTTAGCACCGTTGTTGCATTATCACCTGTTTTTTCAGCCACCAAACGAGCTTTCCTTACAATTTGGGCCTTCTCACTAACAACATTGCCCTCTTGAGATTGCTTCGGGGAGTTAAAAAGAAGTTTTCTCGCTGCCCCTGGTGGTCCGAGTTTGATTACGCCTGGATCATTGAAACTCTTCGGCTTCACAGAATGGCAGGTGGTTATGGACTCTTTCCACCTTCGTTCCTTCTCTTTATCAGTCGGGTTAATTTTAGCACATTTTCTTGGAGTTGCACGGAGCCAAGGGCCATACTGAAAAACCAATTCTTCCTCCTCAGACCTTGCTAATTCTTTAACATGGCAGTCACGATCAGTGTGGTCGAGCATACCACAAAAGAAACAGAAATCAGCAAGTCTTTCGTACTTGATATCAATCCACTTTGATGAGGCAGAACCTGTTGCAAGTTTAAATCCCCTGCGCAAAGGTTTTCTAATGTCCACATTAATCTTCAGTCTCACAAACTCACTCCATCCCAAAGGGTCCTCATCATCTAGCTCGATAAAGCCACCAAGAAATTCACCAACATCATACATAGTATTGTTATTACGCCTATTGAATGGAACATCCAATAAGCGAATCCACATAGGAGCGTGAGTGAATGTTATCTCCGAAGGCTGCTCGTCTCCCTACACTTCTTTAAGCAACATAATTTTATCATCAAAGAACCAGGGGCATCCTTCGATCACACGATCTTTGTCACTCTCACAAAAGAATTGGAAAACGAAGAGATTTGTCTCCACAACCCTGATTGCTACACCTTCTTTCAGTTTCCAGACGGTCTGCAATGTTCGCTTCATAGCCTCCGAGTTATAGGGTTTGCTAGTGCATATCTTACCCACAAGAGACAATTTCAATTGAGTGTTCGAACCCTCGTTATCAGTTTCGAGGGATTCTCCTCCAATAACAGCAACTTCGTCATCTGTAAGTTTCAATTTCTCCCAATCTTTCACTAAATCATTCGTCAACTACAAAATTAAGGTTCGAACTATGTAAAGTGAATAAATACGGAGTATAATTTTACGAAATGTATTTTTTTTTTATAAAAATTGAATAACATACCAAATCACCAGTACAATTTGAAATTGTTTTATTGTGTGTCTATACTTTGTATTCCATATTATCCACTAATAAAATTATCCATCTCATTCCAACCAAGCATTTTATTATCACAACTCACAAGAAAGCAAACTTGAAAGTAATAGACCTGGTAAAAAACTTCAAATTAGGGTAATGAGTTTTTCATTTTCTTTAAGTAATCTCCACCAATTCATATGGAAAATCTATGGATTATATCTTTTCAAACAAAAAGCAAACTTGAAATTATAGTTGAAATTAGAAATTAATTTATTATAAGTTATTAATCATAAATTTTCTATTAACATATAATTAAAGCAAATCTTTCCATAACACTTGTCATTACCTTGTAAAAAGATTTCCCGCCTTTTTCGGTTCTCTTTTATTTTTTTAGCTTGGTTGGAACCTATGCGAGGCACGGTTTATATAAAATCTATTTTTATAATTTGTATTTTTTTTAAAAAAAATAGATAAATATAAATAAGAATTATGCACTTTGTATCTGCATAGGAGTCTATTTATTAGTGTGTTATTTAAAATTTATTTCATTTTTTAAGGATAAATTGATTGGTTGTATTTGTAATGTAGAAGCTTCCAATATTCAAATTTAAAATTATTAAATATGATAGCTCTAAAAAAAAAAAGGATGACAACATCCCTGCATTTAGGCGGGAAAATAACATAAGTGCCTCATTTTGCGTATTAAAAATTATCGATTTTTGGGAAACTATTTTTCGCTATAAAAACGAGGTACTAACTTTAATTTTTTGTCAATTTTGAGCTCAATTTAGAACCTTAAGGACTACAATAGTCGATAAAACCTTAACCCCTTTTTGACACGTAAACCGATGAAAAAAATGAATTATGTTGCAATTTACAATTTATAACAACTTGTAATTTGCAATTTTTTTTTTAATGACAACAATTTGCAAAATACTAATTTTAAATGGTTGCAAATTGCAAATTTTTCCATTAATAATAACAAAGTTATGGCCCATACATTGTTAATTTGTGGGCTGGATCATGTAAAATGTAATCACTTGGGCTTGACGTTGCACTGATAATAGCAATCACTTTTTTTTTGTAAAGTTAAAATTCTTGTTCTTTCAAGCGGGCTAAAATGTTGGAAGACGGAAACACATCAAACGAACCCGCTAGGAGTATACTAACTGGTCCAAGTTTATCTCTATCTCCAAAATGCTATCTGACGTCTTTAATTAAGCTTAAGCTTTTTGTGTTTTTTTTAGATTAAGCATAGCAGTTAATTGTGCACAATCTTTAAATTTTATAAATTATGAATATATTTAATTTTTTGTGAATCTTTAAAATTATCTCATGTTCTTATGCACTATTGCAACGATTAATATCGATTTCTAATTATCAATCAATATAAGTAAAAATTATAAAGAGTTGATAGTATGAAACATATATTGAGATGACTTTCAAAAAAAATAAAAAAAAATAAAAGTTGAGATATGGACGCTTTGTGTCACATGCTGGAGACGTGAAAAATCAAATGAGAATTATGTTTAGGGACGGAAGGAATATATAGAAAAGAAGAGTTAAATAACACTTCATATGTTCGATTTTCTAAGAATTTGTTTGTTGGAATTTCTTGATTTAGGAGCCTAAATTTGATCATGAGTACTCACCAACATATTAGGAAAAAAAAAATTTGATGTAAGATTGTATCTAGATGTATAGTTTTAAAACATGAAGATTGATCATAGTTTTAGTTGTGTTTAGAGTTTTGTCATATTCTTCTCGCCAAATAATTTACACTTAATTAGGTTCACAATACAAACATTTATGAATAATGCATTGCTCGAAACCAATCTTCTTATCTATAATTCCATAATTAAAGTACGTAAACCTCTATAGTTAGGAAATATGACCTGGTCATGTATTGTAGCTGGATTCAAGAAATCTAACCTCAAGTCACAAAACCCAAATTTAAAAATAATCACAATACTCCAATAATTTAACCTATGAATTAGGAAAAAATAATGTCACCAAAAAAAGGCAAATACATCTTTAGATTTCCAATCAAATGCATCTTTCAAAAAAAAATTAACCATGTAAAACCTAAATGTTATCAATTAACACCCTCGAATTACACCACCGCCACCACCGCCTCCACCTCCACCTTCTCGAGCCCTCTACACGATGGGGGGAGGCGGCGTCCTCCCCTACTAACACCTCCACACAATTGCATGGCATGGAAATCGAACGCATCACCCTCTTGTAAACGGAGGGTGATGGTGGTGGCGGACGCCACCGCAGAGTCGGTGGCCGCCCTACAATACGTTCTTTCCCATGCAATGCAAGACAATGATGACCTAATTCTCATGCACGTAACACAACCTTCTAAAAAATCACCCTTGTTGATAAAATCTTTTTTTAGACGTCATTCCGACCCCGGGTTGGCGGGGATATCTAACTTCCATCCCACGGCTGATGCCGGTGAGGGTGGTGGTGGCGGTGGTGGCAAAGATTTCCTAGAGGTTATGAAGAGGGCATGTAAAGGAACGTTTCCGAATTCGAGGGTTTGGGTTGAGAAGGTGGAACAAGGGAGTTTGGATAATAAAGGGGCTGTTATTTTGCTAAGGTGTAAGGAATTGATGGTTGATTTACTTGTTGTTGGCCAACGTCGTCACCTTGTGTCTATTCTTTTAGGGTAAGATTTATTTTTAACCATTCATTATAATAATTATTCTTCTTAATTTTAGTTGCATGTTTATATGATCATCATAATATATAGAATAATTAAAAATTATTTTGTTAAAACCATTGTTTTGAATTCAAAGAAATCTATAATTGACTTATATAATTAATTAGACTAATTGAAGATCAATGAATTTAGTTGATAAAACATTTGCTGATAAACGAGCCTTGGCCACACCCATCACATCTTACCATTTTATAAGACGAAGGAGGTTCTACCTCAAAACCATGAGGGGAGTAGCCCCTTAGCCATATAAAGTTGACACAATTATCTTCTTTCGTCAATGTGAGATACACATCCCAATACAAACTCTTACTTATAGACTTAACCAATATGGGATAACACACCACTCACATGTGGGTTTTTTCAAGGGTTTAACATTTGCATCGATTATCATATTCTATTTTTTTTATAAGAACATTTATCTATTTATTTAATTCAACTTCATGCAAGGGGTGTTGTATGATGATATAATGTATAAGGGGATTGAATTATTATTTTTTTTTTGAAAATAAATAAAAACAACCCTATTAATATTTGTACAAGTTAGATCTGTTATGCAAATTATGTAATTGATCATATCATATTGTAACATATCTCTATGGTTTAACAGGCCGAGAAGATCTTTTAGTACTGGATCAACAGTATTACGAGGAGGTGCACCAAAATCAGTAGACACGGTCGAATATCTAATAGAAAATAGTCCATGCACTTGTGTGGCAGTGCAAAAGAAGGGACAAAATTCAGGCTATATTCTCAATTCCAAAACTCATAGAAATTTCTGGCTTCTGGTCTGAACCATTTTCAAAGGATTACAATTTTTTTTTCAATCCTTAAAAAGCACTCGAATTGGGAGCTGAAGCTTCTAGATAAACCTTGATTCGGAATTCATTAGCCAAAGTATGTAATACTCAGCGAGCCAAGCTAAGAGATTCAATCGTTGGAGAAACATTGTACTCCTTACTAGCTATATCATGTTCAATTGAAGATTGAATTCTAGCTTATAAGTTTAATAGATCCAGTAAAATGTCTATATATATATATATTTATATATATGGTAGTCAGATCAATTATTGGGGCACGTTAAATAAAATGCTAGATATATCTCTAAGTATACTTGGTTATTATTTATACTCCCTCCGTTAATGGTTAATTGCAACAAAGGGGTATTATTTGTGAGATATAAAATATTCCTTTGTTGCAATTAACCATTAACGGAGGAAATATATCGTTTCATCACATGAATGATATACATGAATCACGTCAAAGACCAACTAGAAGTGAAAATACAAAATAAGAAAGCTTAATCGATCAATCATCCATGCCAAGCACCTTATTGTGCATGCATCTCGGATATGCACATAAGTAGGCAATCGTGTATTTAGGTAAAGGGGGTGTTTGGTATGTAAATGTATAGTCAAACAACTAATAAGTGTTGCAAAAATATAAAATTTATAAATGTTTTAAGAATTAGGCTTGAGAAAACTCACTCATTGATCTTTGATGTATTTTAATATCAGTGATCTTCATTATTAATTAACTATTAACTATTAAAGATCTTGAAAATTAGCATTTGAAACGCGTATGTGATTCTAGTACTTGTCATTTCAAACTCACAAATAATAAACAAGCTATATAGAGATAGAGTTTATGTATGATTGAAAAATAAATAATGTTGATCGTTTAAAGTCTTGGACATTTTTATGTTAAATTGATAGCTAGACCAAAACTTCAACCTTTTATATGTTTATTATACATTTACACCTTTAATTATTCTTCCATAATGCACTCCAAAATTCTTTAATTCAATTACTATAAGCTAAGCTAGCTGCCAATCTTCAAATTTCTTGTTACAATTTGTTAATCAAAACCCTTAGTATATACACCCACATATATTAAACAATCGGAGCATTTAACTTGGATATAATCCGAGCCTTTGAGTTTATTTATATACTATCATTGCATCAATGAATGTATGTACATAATGTTGATTGTCCGTCTAATCAAATCCATGGATATATATATAAGCTTAGGGATATGCTCTTTGATAAAGTGAATTTAGAGAATATGGCTTCTCATGCTATCGAATGGGGAAATTTTTATAAGCCAATTTAGAGATATATATGGAAGAACTAAATTTGGTTGGCAATTTTTTTGTCCTTTTAATTAATTTTGGCCTAAAAAAAGTGACATTTGGATAGAGAAGAACCTTACAACAATGTCATGCTTGTGAGTAAGAGCTCATGTCTCGTGAACTCCCACAACTACCAAATCCTCTAGAAAACATACTTGATTAAACTCCTATTCAATTTTGATCATGCAAGTGTTGAAACATTATCCACCTATTTTTCTTTTTTATTACTTTGTTATCATGTAACAAATTTTTTTTTTAAAAAAAAGTAAATTGATATATAATAATAAATAATTAAACCATATAATAGAAAAGTTGGTGGGATTTAGAAGTGCACCACAAGGTAATAAGGGCATAAAATAACTTTCAATGGATCATGTATTATTTGTATAGAAACAAGGGAAAATAACTTTGAATAATGATGCGAATTTTGGGTCGTATCTAGTATGAAAATAGTGTGGTGAGAAAAGACTACACATTATTACTTCCACGAGACCACAATGGATTGTTTACAATTTATCATGATCTTATTTAGCGGGTAAAAAAATAGGTACGGAGTATTTTTGAAATAAATTTTCGCAAGCTGTCAATAGTCCTACCTAGTTTTGATCAATTCAATGTGTTTTTTTTAGAGGATAATATCTTCAACTAATACTAAGGGTGTGTTCTCATACGTTGAAATTCAGTTCAGTTCAGTTCCTAATTTCCCTCTCTTATAAAATATTCATTTCAACTCAACTCAATTCAGTTCATTTCAGTTCATTTCAGTTCAATTCAGTTCAGCTCAGTTCAGTCAATGAGAACAGACCCTAAGTATTAAAATAACAATCTCTAATATTACCCCTGCCCCCTAAAATATACACGTACAGCTTCTCCTTTAATTTTTTCTTGCCCAAACTTTTTTATTCTCTTATAACTTATTTATTTTTGGAAAAATTATATATTAAGGGTCTGTTTTGATTGGTTGAACCAAACGGAATATTTTAGGAGAGAAGGAAATTATGAACTAAACTCAACTGAAAATAAGCTGAAGAAAACATGCCTTAATTGCCGAGTTATTATTTTGTACCATACGTATCTTAAGGTACATATAACTAATCTTAAGGAAGACAAATATTAACCCTATATATAAGCTGAAGAGAACATGCCCTAAATGCAAAATTATGTTATTGAATAAGATCACACATGATTTTATTTTTTCTAATCTATAAATATCTTTCCTTATTTTGTACTTCCTCTATTTTTTTAGTTGCAACACTTCTCTTTTCACTCTTGCTTATGCATGATTTTAATGTTAATATCTTTATTTACCAATATGTAAAAATTATAAACAATTGATACTAATTTAGTATAAATCGAGACGAATCTAACAAGATTCCACATGATCGATTATATTTTGTTTAAGTATAAATCATCAAAGATTGTTAAAGTAAAACACATGAATAATGTACAAGTCAAACGGTTGCAATTATAAAAAACGGAGGAAATATTAATTTAGGAATACATGACAAATTCACTCGCAAATTAGTGTAATTAATGAATACATTTTATTAAGGGTCTATTCTCTTCTGTTTAATTTCAGTTCAAATCAGCTCCAACTAATTCAGTTCAGTTCAACTCCTAATTTCCTTTTCTCATAAACAATTCATTTTACCTCCATTCAGTTCAGCTCCAATTAGTTCATTTCAGTTCAGTTCAATAAATTAGAACAAACCTTAATACTCCGTACCATTTTCATTTTACAAATTTAAAATAAGAAATTATTAATGGTCAAAATAAAGGACATAATACACACACAAAAAAAAGTTGTCAACATCATAGAAAGGTGACGCGTGGAACAGAAACCCATGAAGAAGAAGAAGAAGTCCGTTAGCACTTCACGGAATTTGAAAAAAGAGACTTTTCTTTTCTACATTTCATTTCCACCCCTAAAATAATTAATTAGTTGGGAGGTCAAAAAAATCGAGTGTTTCTTTTTCCCGTTGTTTGGTTGCAAAACTCACATTTCTCCCACTCCAAAAAAATCACTAGTCACTAGTATTATTACTATAGTACAGAAAGAGAGAGAAAGAAGAGAGAGAAAGAAGAAGAAATGGATTGTTTCGAAGCATTGCACTCAACAGAAGGCAACCAAGAATCTAAAATTAAAGGTGTAATGACTCACGGTGGTCGTTATGTTCAGTACAATGTCCACGGCAGTTTATTTGAAGTTTCTTCTAAGTATGTTCCTCCTATTCGTCCCATTGGTCGTGGTGCTTCTGGCCTCGTTTGGTATGTTCTTATTTCATTTTTCTAATCTTTCTTAGTTGTTGTTTCTTATTTAATGTTCATTTATTATGTGGGTTTGTGTTCTTTTTTAATTTTGGTGTGTTTTTCTTGTAACAAGTTTTTGTAGCAAATGGATACCAAATAATATATAGTCACGTTGATAGTGTAATTTTAACGAGCATGCAAACAAGAGTCTGAAGACGGTGTCTCATATCAAACTTAGTCCATATTTGTATACATAGTACATGTTGTCTAAGTGACAATAAGTTATTGTGAGACTGTCTCGTACAAAATAGGTAAATACGAATTGAAGTAGGTAATGTTGTTTGAGTTTAGAAATTTTGATGGGTGTTGTCTAATTTGGTTTAAAATTAAAATTTGGGTTGGTTGATATTGATTGACTTATTAGAGCTAAATGAAAGGGGGTTTGTCTCTTTTGATGTCTTAGGTTGAAACAATGACTATTTATTGTGTCTTGCTAATAATTTTGAAGCATGTATGAATGAGGTTGAGAAGTTCTTGTACTTGCATGTTTCAGAAGAGCTATTTTTCTTTGATAAAACCAAATAAAAAAATCATAAGAATTTATTATTCATTCATCTACTAATTTATTTGTTTTGGGAGATCAAAACAGAAAATTGGTGTTTCTGATAATTAATGAGCAAATACTGTATCTTTTCTTGTCAGTTCATAATTGAGAATAGATGCTGTTGATAAATTTAAAGTTATCTTCAATTGGTGGCTGTTATATATTAACAATGAACATTACTATAGTCTTTGTTGTTACTCCATGAATGAAAATAGATGTTATGAATCTTATGATTGTTGATAAATGTATTGTTACCTTCGATTGGTGGTTGTTATTACTAATGAACACTACTATAGTAGCTATTGTTAGTCCATGAGATGCTGTGAATCTGTGATTGTTGATGAATGCATTGTTATCTTCAGTTGTAGGTTGTGATTACGATTAAACTTTATTAAAGTATCTCTTGTAGCCCATGACTTGAAGGGGAAATTCCCTGTTTCTCATGGTGAGAAACAAAGTTTGTTTTTCATGGGGCCATTTTCGTGAATAAATCAACAACTTTTTCATTATTGTGGGCTCCACAGTTGAATAAAGTTGTTGGTTTATTTACGAAAATGTCATGTACCATGAGAAACTGGGGTATCCTCGACTTGAAGTAGAAGCTGTGAAACTATGATTGTTGTTGATAAGTGTATTGTTATCTTTAATCTAAATTAGTTTTGAAGGATGGATGCTGCTACCACTACTTGACTTTGAATTACACAAGTATTGTAGTCTTCAACTTAAAAGAGAAAATTTGCCAAAGGAAATTTCATAGATTGCTGTCTTTTTTCCCCTGCCCTTTTGCTTAATTTCTGTGCTTATATAGTTTTTCTGTAGACATTTTCATTGAGGGTGATCCGTCTCAAAGTACATAGGAAAGGGTTCGTGTCTGTTTGGCTTACATGATGTAGGGAATGACTTAAGCTATACGGGTTTACAACTGTCAGAGAAATAACACAATTCTTTCTTTCCAGTGCTGCTGTGAACTCAGATACACACCATGAGGTTGCTATCAAGAAGATTGGTAATGCATTTGACAATATAGTAGATGCAAAAAGAACTCTGAGGGAGATCAAACTACTTCGCCATATGGATCATGAAAATGTGAGCTTGCTTTCGCAGTTTCATTATGTGTTAGCTAGCCTTCTAGCTGTGAAGATTTTGCTTTTCATAAGTACAGTCTCTTATTAATTCATTTAGTTTTTTGCTGCAATTGTACACATCTTCATCTAAGGTAAATGGTAAATTCCCAAATCTTTCATGATGCATGTCTCCTATTTGTCCGAATGTAACTTTTAGTATGGAGTATCAGTAATCTCTAAGTTTTATCAGATTTTAATTTTCTTGGCTTGATGCAGATTATTGCCATAAAGGATATCATCCGACCACCAAAGAAAGAAGCATTCAATGATGTTTACATTGTTTATGAACTGATGGACACTGATCTTCATCAGATAATTCGCTCTAACCAAGCTCTGACTGATGATCATTGCCAGGTTTGTCATGTTTACTGCAATTGAGATCAAGTTCTTTGGAACCCCCAAGTCATTCTTAGGTTTTGTTTGGTTCAAAGGGAAAACAATCAATGTTAATGGAAATCAAGTTTCAAATCAGTTTGCTTCGTTTGATCCTTCCTAGAGAAGGTGAATAAGGGAAATGAATGAGAGGGAAATTGAAAGAATATGGAGGAAAATATGACATTGCTTCCTTTGAAAAGAAAACTCTTTTTGAGAGAACGTTTTTCCAAAAGATTATTTTCACTCCTATACCACCAAGTGGTAGAAAATGAGAAAATCTGTTTTTCCTGAAAAATGATTTCATTCTCTACCAAACGCAACTTATTGTGGTTCATTTGTTTCTGTTAAACTAAACTTAAAGATTCTCAAGGTAAACGGATACAATCTCACTGTACTTAAATAGTGTTTGAAACTAGTTGACGGTTTGGGATATCCCTGAAGTTTGAATAAATCTATATTTCCACTGTTTTAAACATGTTATTTACCCATTGAACTTTCTGTTAACTTTGCTCTATCCAAGCTGTTAAAGAGACTAATACTTTTTGTGGACTGCAGTACTTCTTATACCAGCTATTACGCGGTCTAAAATATGTACACTCTGCAAAGGTCTTGCATCGCGATCTCAAGCCCAGTAATTTACTTCTAAATGCAAACTGTGACCTAAAGATTGGAGACTTTGGGCTGGCTAGGACCACCACTGAGACAGATTTTATGACTGAGTATGTTGTAACTCGCTGGTATCGAGCACCTGAGTTGCTCCTTAATTGTTCAGAATACACAGCTGCAATTGATGTCTGGTCTGTTGGATGTATATTTGGTGAAATCATGACAAGAGAACCCTTGTTCCCAGGCAAAGATTATGTTCACCAGCTGAGGCTTATTACTGAGGTAAAGTTCTGCCCTCCCTCGTATCTTCTAGTTACAGTTTATTCCTCTGAAGTTCAGTTCATGAGGAAGTATGTTCGAAGCTCAGACTTTGAAGTACTTGGTTAAGCTTGAGGAAGGCATCCTCTGAGGTTAGCTTGATACTTGATGTCTCGTCAGCTGGTAAATTCTACTTGTATTAATTATAATAGCTAACCTCTTATGTACATGGCCTAGAAAGGATCATGCATATATTATAAATTTCATGGATTTAGGTACATTGTTGTATATGCCAACTTTCTTTGTGCTTTGGTGCTTTCATGTCACACATTTTGCTGACATTCTTCATAAGATAAGTAAATTGTACCATTGTTTGATGCCTTACTTTAGTAAACATGTAAATTAGTACATTTAAACTTAGCATGTTGCAGAATTAAGATTATGTGTACTATATCTGTTTCTCAGTAATCAGACTGAAACATTATGTCATTTTGGATCCAAAAGTTGATAGGGTCACCAGATGATTCGAGCCTGGGCTTTCTGCGGAGCAACCATGCCAGGAGATACGTGAAACAACTTCCACAGTACCCAAAACAGCAATTCTCAGCAAGGTTTCCTAATATGTCCCCAGCAGCCACTGATCTGTTGGAGAAGATGCTCGTCTTTGATCCCAACAAACGCGTTACTGGTACTGAAGAAAACCATTTTGTATTTACATGTACTAGTATTCCTCTTTAAAATGGAGAACTTTCTTGGTTCATCTTTGATTAATCTTCTTTGTGTGCTAATCTGTTTGCAGTGGATGAAGCACTGTGTCACCCATACTTAGCCTCCCTCCATGATATCAATGATGAGCCCATCTGCTCAGCTCCTTTCCGTTTTGATTTCGAGCAATCATCCTTGACAGAAGAGAATGTGAAAGAGCTTATCTGGAAGGAATCAGTGAAGTTCAACCCAGATCCCGCTCATTAAGTACAAATGACAGGACAAATTGCTTTGCTTCTGCTACAAAAGGTAGTCTTCTGCAGTTTTTACTCCTGCATACGCTGCTCATTCTTGGAGGAGACCGCCTTTTTAGGTAAATGAAGCTATTTGTCAAGAGTCAGCACCAGTTCTTTCATTCCGAAATGTTAGCCAATTTGGATTATGTATTTAGCTTTGGTTCCTTGTAAAAGAGTTGATGAAATAGGAAAATAAGGAAATTTGAGTTCCTCTATAGCTAGAATTTTAGATTATGGACAATTATATGACCCCTTAAATACTTATTTTAGTTTATTTTGTATAACTTGCTCAGAACTTCTTGACTCTGTATATTTACTGAAGTTGAATACATTCTCTGCATTCAGCCTGTATTCAATCAGAACTACCTTCTATTATTGCAATTTCTCATCCTTAGTAACTTGAATATATAGTCATCAATCCTTTTTGTCCGGAATTAGTTCACACTGTCTCACTTCTCATATACAATAATATGACATTGTAATATACCTTTATAATAGTTTAGTATTATTTCCATCACTACCCCATCACTTTAAGTAACGGCATATTAGATAATTCATACATAATCTAAAATATTTTAGCAAATGTGACAACTCTTTTGTGACCGTCAATTTCTGATAGAGCGAGTAAAATTATTCTCTAGGCAAGCAAGGAATCTAGTATATCTCGGTACCATAAGATACGGGTAATAGACTAATAGATAAGGTTTCTTAAGCTTATTTTATTTTTTCTTTTGACACATTCATAGTAGGTTTTAGAGTTTCTAACCAGCTTCTAAAATCTCAATCTCATTTCCATAAATACACTGATATGCTTCTCTTAAGCTAGCTCCCTTTTCCTTTGGTAGGGCGATTGAAACATACTCCAAAGATCTAATCGAAACTGTATATGATATCACATTGTAAAATCCTTCATTCTCTATGGTAAAAAACAACATTACATTTCAGACAGAAGAATAGAGTAATGTAATCTTTCATTCATATCTTCTTTCCTTCTAGACTGGCTTCTCATCCATCAAAGATACCTCTTTCTGTTGTAAGAACATGTTTGGAGTTTGACATCGTCGATTGGCAAAGGATCTTTAGGATACTCACATTCTGTTTTATGATCAGCTCCTTGATCAGCCAACGCATCACAAGGTTTAGGTGTGACATCGCTTGAGATCCCACCAACATCAGTACAAGCCCAATGAACTTTCTTTGGTTTAGCAGCCATCGTTATGGTCACATTCGATATACAAATCTCAGTAAAAGGATCACCCGAAATCCCTTCTAATCTAGCTGCCATTTTCACATCATCAGCTACCATATCTCTGTAGTTGATGTTCTTTATAGTAGGAAGAGCATTCGGATCATACTTGTCATCAGGGTGTGACCCGTAATTCCCTGTCATCCAAAACACCCATTTCATTGTATGCATTGTAAAACCTTTCACATATATATCCTTCACAAAACCTCCTCGTCCTGCTCCTGTCTTGATTCTCACTCCTGACTCCGAGTTTATGGCCACTATGTCCTCTGCCCTGACATCCTGGATTCCTCCTGACATTTCGCTACCTAAAGCAATCACAGCACTTGTAGGAGAAATGCATGTCAAACGACGGATAATGAGCTGCTTCGTGGGCATTCCGTAGGAAATTCCATACTCATCCCACCCACTTTTGACAGCAACACAATCATCCCCAGAGACAATGTAGCAGTCTTCAATTCTAGTGTTTGTGCAGGAGTCTGCAGAAAAAGGCAGGGCATAACACATGTAATTAGATTAACATTTTTCACAAATTGACAATCGCAACCATTTAAGGTACCACTACGACGATCCAATGTATCACCATAACCATATGATATACTACCACAAGTCCACAACTACCTTCTTCACTAGGGATTGGAATTATATTGCAGAGAGTATCACATAACATTTTTCAATAAGTTATCGTTTACCAATCTCGATTAGTGTACAAAACTAGAAAATTTTATCAAAGAACCAAAATATACCTGGGTTAATCCCATCAGTGTTAGGAGAGTTAACTGGAGCACTGATTGTTATGCCTTGAATTATTATATTGCTGTCATAATGAAAAATTATCATTAGATTTGTATAAAAATATTGTTGTAAATGATGTTTAAAAAGATGATCAAAGTAAGTTTACCTGCTATAAACGGGATGAATGTTCCATGAAGGTGAATTAATGAGAGTGATGTTCGATATTTGAATACCGTCAGAGTACAGAAGCTCTATCAAGTAAGGCCTTGTGTTCTTAAGCTGCTTATGATGGAATTTCTGCCACCACATTTCACCTTGACCATCAATTGTGCCATTTTCCCCTGTTAATATAACATAGTAACTCCATATTAATATAACATAGTAACTCCATATTAATATATGAGAAAATTGTAAAAAAAGTCCTTTTAAGTGGTTGACTTTTTGAAAAAGTATCTTTTAAGTTAAAACTTGTGAAAAAGTTAAGTTGCATTTTGTTTATATGGGGTAATTGGGTGAGCTTGCGACCTTACATGGTGGTCAATGCCGGAACTCCGACGATGACTATCACGTGTTAGTCACATGACTTTTTTTTTTTTTTTTTAAAAAAACCCCAAATTTCCCTCCTTTCCCACCTAACCAATGAAAGAGTTAGGTCGGGAAATGAGGGAAATTTGGGAATCTTTTTGTTTTAAAAAAAAAAGTCACGTGACTAACACGTGATAGTCAATGCCGGAGCTCCAGCATTGACCACCACGGAAGGTCACCCAAGTACCCTATACAAACCAAATGCAACTTAAAAGGTCCTTTGTCACAAGTTTTCACTTAAAAGGTCCTTTTTCAAAAATCGACCACTTAAAAGGTTCTTTTTCACAATTTTCTCTTAATATATTGCTTAATGTCCATTAAAGTGCATGCTAATTATAATTTCTGAGTAGTGTACCTGTGATTATCACATCTGTGAGGTTGCTACCGGTAATTAGACTGGCATATCTTCCACCACCATCCCTTCCATGGCCATATGATGGCAAGGGCGCGATCAATGGCCACTCGTTCATGTCCTGTTATAAGAGTAATTTGTGTTTTAGCATATGATAAAATGAACCAACACCATCTTAATTTTTTATATTTACGGGTTTGTCTAGCATACCACACGTTGTTTAGAGGTGTTAAACGAGTCATTTGAATGAAATTTGGTTCAAGCCATATTTAAGGGTAAAGCCATTTGGCTAGGATCTGACTACTGAAATAATCAGTTTGGTTTGGATCGGGTCAAGTTCAGGTACAAGTCGTGTTTTAGTCACCCAATGTAATTTAAGACATAAAGTCTAATAACCAATGCAATAAGATGTAACTATATTTAACTAACAAAACACCCAATTATATTTCATTAAAATTATAATACAAGTATTAAAAAAACTGTATTAATTAGGAGATTAAAAAAAGTAAAAAAAAACAAACCTGAGAAGCTAAAAGAACAGCATCCTTGTGAAGAAACAGAGTAAAATGACTAGCAAGATTGAAGCTTCCAGTCAACCATTTTCCAGCAGGAACAAACAGCAAACCTCCACCGTCGGATTCAAACTGGCTAAGATGATCAACGGCTGTCTTAAAAGCTTTAGTATTAGAAGTGTTTCCATCACCTACACCACCAAAATCAGTAATAGAAGCACTATGACTTCTGCAGTTCATTGCAACATACTCAAAATTTTTCAAAACTGCCCTTGTTTTTCTTCCTTCGACGCCTTTCGAATCCATGATTATTCCAACTAAAAAAACTAGACAAAATAATACTACACCCATTTTTTGTACCTGAAACAAAAATTAAATTTAGATAGAAAAGAAAATATTTAATTAAAATGTAAACAAAGTTTTATACAAAAGAACATGTAAAGAGAGGTTGTTTAACTATGTTTCTTGTTACCTTATAAGTTGTTAAAGAAATTCCTCTTAGATGCATTTTTTGGGAATAATGTGGTTTAGTTTTGGATTGTATGAATGATGAATTTATGAATGTGTGAATTTATATATTAGAGAGAAAGTGGAAGGAAAAGTTTTTTTTTTGGGTCCCAAAATGTAATAATATAAGGTTAATTAATTAACAAAGTTCACGGAAGTTATTACTGTTCTCATAATAGTTATGGACTGACCTTATATTATTCTTGGATTGTAGCAGCTAGCCAGCTAGTAGTTTGTTTTAATTTTATCCTATAGAATGTGCTGTGGAGTATGGAGTATGGAGTATGGTTGTATGGATAATGGATTATGTGTTGGTCGTTGTCGCGACTTGTGATACGGAGTATAGTCTACCGTGCTCACAAGCTACTCGAGTCGAGTCGAGCCGAGCTTGATTTACTGAGTAAACTCCATTTAGTAACCTAGGTATCAAAAATGGGTAGCAACAAATTATGCAAATTTGTGACGCGAATATTCTTGCCTGCTAAAGTTGTGTGCACACAACATTAACTCTTGATGACGATTGTTTACTGGTTTCATAGTTGTGCACACAACTATATCTTGTCCGTTTAACTTTAATTGATAACACAAAATGTCATAAACGAAATTCTCATTGGATTACGATTTTAAGGTTTCAAACTCTCGTTTATTTCAAATACATTTCAATTAACCTAATCTGATCTCATAAACGTGTCAAAAAAAACCATGTCATTGTATTTTGAAATAGTATTAGTATAAATACGACTCCGTATAAAGTAAGCAACCATACATAAGCACCAAATTAGTGTAGCATAACGTGCATAAGGATTTACCAATGCAACATGGTAAAGATAAGATAAATCATCAAATAAACAGAGTCCACTATGAAAACGGAAGAGCACACTCAACACCCACTACTACTTGTTGCTTCCACAACAAAAACTACCACTAACTAATTAATTGGTTTGGTTAGTTTAGTGGTACCGAATAATCTTAGTTACACAACAGCTTTTTTTAAAAAAAAACAAAAAATAAATAAAAATAAAAATTATTACTGCCATTTACAAGAATAGCTCCAAAATTATTGTCAATAAATTATAATTCCCCTCAAAACTTTCCAGTGAAGGTCCAATCAAATGGTTGTTGCACTAACCTATATTAATACGGAGTAGCATTGAGCAAATATAGCAATCTTTCTAGCCAATTTTTTAAGAACAAGAATGTGTAAGGTGTACCAATAACTTTTTTCCTAGAGTAACATGTTTGGGCCGGGTTTCTATACTATATTTGGTAGATGATAAGAAATGACGGTAAAGATGACATAATTATGCCAATCTATATTGTACGGCAGTACAACCTCACCTCTAACTCTCTAAGTTAAATAATCAAATTAGATTTGATCAACTATACCTACTTAAGATAATCTTATAAGTAGTAATAATTGATGATGAAGTTTTGTTTTAATATTACAATTTGCTGTAAATGTATTTTAGTACTACCATATTAACAATAATCTTCTCAAGACCATTGTTAGCACAATCAATCTAATTTATTTGATCCATAATTGAACACCACCTAAAACTCGTTAGGACCATAAAATTAACATAAATAGAAAATCAATACAATAATTTATCAACACAAACATAAATAATCACTAATTTGTTAAATCTCATTTAAATAGATATGGAACCAACACAACCAAGCTAACCTATATACTATATAATATAGATTAATTAAAATCAAATCACATCTACACGACTCATTGGATACCTATAACGGCTCTAGGTTATGGATGGGCTTGATGGGATGAACATGGTGGGTAAATGGGACCCAAAGTATGAGGAAAGTTTTGTCAGACAGCATTTTGCACAAAGTATAGAACCCGTGAGCCACAAGTTCGTCGCTACGTGAGATCATCCTAAACTACTAGTATCATTATTTATTATTAGCGGCCACCTAAGTTTTCACGGGTTTATGTTAAGTGGAGGGCAACACTACTACACATTACACTTTACACTACCTTTTTTTTTTTAACTCTTTTGTTTGTATTGCAATATTCACAAGTACTAGTGTACTACACATAATTTTTCTAAGTGTTGTTCCCTATTTAAATTTCCTATCGTACATTGCATTCATTTAATACAATTTCTTTCATCACTTTCGGTAGGTTGTCATGCGCATGAATGGACTATCCAATCCCTTCGCAGAATAAACAAGCAATTATATCTCTGAATCTAGTGTCTCTATGTAGTAGATTTATCTATTTCTGAGCATATTGTGCCAAATTACAAAAACAAAAAAAAAATATTGGGTAATCCCTTCTACTAGCTCCGATTTTTTTTAGTATAAAATTTCTCATCGTATTCACATCATGTATCAACCTGTATGTCTCTCCTTGATAGGTTTATGATAATTATGAACCCTCATTATACTTATATTTACCTAACATTTATCTTAGTGATATTTTAAATAGAATTATGTTACATATTGATATAATTTAAGTATTATCTTATTAGGAATTGAAGTTTAGGGTATTTAGGAATATTATGTTGCTATTAATATAAATAGTCTATTTTGACTATTTGTGACGATGGCAGATCTAGGGATGTGGGGATGGGCGCATGAAAATTCGGCTTGTGAAAATAATACTCCGTACAAACTTGCTTGACAAACTAAAATTTCACTTATTTATTGTTTCTATACACTATCTTATTAGTCATTGAATGTGTCCCTTCTTAAATATTGTCCATATAATTGAACCAAACAAATAAAACTAACACAAAATAATACTCCGTATAATTAAAGGCCCTACAATTACACTTTTATAAAACTTTTAGACAAATTTTTATCTAAATCAATGATTGTATAAATACACTAAAAAAATTAAATGCTTGTAGTAATTTAAAGTATAACCAATTACAATTACTTTCATAATTGTCACAATCTAATAGACGAGTACACGAATTGAGGCACACTACTTGTTAATCAATAAGTATTTAAAATATGGAAGTTTTATTTGAAGGAAAAAAAAAAAAGTATATTGATGATACTATGTTTAGAACTTGTAATGCACAAACTCATTAGACAATCATAGAATATCAATAATGTATATGAATTAAGATGATCCAAAGTATTTTAAATAGTTGATATTTGAAAGTAGTGTTATACGTTCAAGTATGAAACATCATACTTAATAAACAAACAATTGATAAATTTGGAAAGTTGCACTATTGAATGTGAACTGCTTTTAATAATGTGTAATGTACGTTTGCATTAAAAAAAAAATGTGTAATGTACGTTTATATATTAATAAGATTTTACTTGAGTATTTGCGACTATGTTACTTCACAGTGATTTATCAATAAACTAATACCAATTGGTTGTTGGTGTAGCGGTGATCGGGACTACACTTGGTAGGGAGGACTCGTGTTCGATCCCCCGCAACAACAATCGGGAGGGGACTGGAACCTAACCACCAGTAACGGATCCCGAATCCAGATTAGCCCAAAGGGTGAACCGGGTAGAACACCAAAAAAAAAAAAATTATATTTTGTCAAAAAAAAAAACATTATTTTAATGAGATCTTTATAAAATAATTTTAAAAAAAATGTCTACATATGAGTGTAGTATTGTGCCATAAGCCCAATAGCATGCAATAAGGCCAATAATGCAAAATCAATGGCAAGGTAGCTCGTTGATTAATTTGGGCCATCATAATTTAGAGTAGTCCACTTTCATCGAATACTAACGAATTATTTTGTAAATGGTAGGCCCACCCTTTGAGCCCATAATGAAGTTGGAGATAAAGCCCTCTTTGTTTTATCTGGTACTCGCACAACAATTACTAATAACTGGTATGGAGACCAACCATATAAATATAGTCCCTTGCTCTAAATGACACCGTTTAATGCCGCCCCTTTTTCTCTCTTCTCTCTCCTCTCTCCTCTCTCCTCTCTCTTCTAGGGTTTTAATTTTCTTGGCCGTGTAGGTCGGAAATAGAAGAAATTAGACTATTTCCGACCCTTTTTCTTTAATTCAATTTAGTTTTTTAGTTTTGTTTTACGTTTTGGTTTATTTGTTATGTTTTGTTCTCTCCATCTGTGAGAGTTTGTCCCAATTTTCTGGGTTTTTCCAATTTTTCTGAGATTTTGATTCTCATATATGGACGAGAATTTTATTTTTAGGGTTCTTACAATAATTGGGAAGGTGATTTGGATTCTTATGGGTTTGGAATTTGTCATCAACCGGTCGATTAAAACATCAGCGCAGATTGCGGAGGTCTCAACTTGGAAAGATGCAAAGACATCGAAAATCATTGCTCGCGTCAAACTTGAAACGGTGGAGTATGAGCTATGCCAAATATGCAAATTAGTTATGATTTTGATTTTAAAAGTTATGATATTTTCTCTAAATATGTGGTTTACAGATCTTTATTATTATAGATGTCGTATGGCTTTTATTTAATGGTATTATTCTCCCCGTCCAAAAAAATAAGGAAAAATTAAAACTAATAATCCCACCTTTGACATTTCTGCTCAAAACAATCCCACCTTTGAATAATCTCAAAACAATCCTACCTTTAACCTCCATCTTCTCAAAACAAACCTTTTTACCGAAAACCTGTTATACAGGTTAATTTTTATTTTTTTAATAATTTTTTCTTTATTCTCTCTCTTCCCACCTCACCATCTTCTTCTTTGGATAATCCACCATGACCACCACCTACCCTCCATGACCACCACCACATTGCAACCCAAAATTCTTACCCATGTTGCTCCTAACGAACTGAATTGAACCTCCATGATGGCTTCTTTCCAAAAACCCCACCCATCGGACGATCTGACGCCCCCACCCTGAACTGGCGGAGACCCATCAGCACCATTAAATAAAACCATGCTGAAAATTCTCACTCACAAAGGCACGCACATTACCCACCTCCACCCTCATCCCTTCCCACCAGATTCCCACGCCGCTGCCGAACCAAAAAGTCCACCCCCACCAGACCCCGAAAATTAGTGCATCGAACCAAGAACCCCACCCTAGTTCGAAACCCAATTCACTGAAGTGAACCCCACCCCATTTTCGAAACACTTACACACCGAACCGAAGTCCACTTCCCACCAATAGAGTTGTTGTCGACTGGGAAGGCGGGGTTGTGA